AAAATTTGTATAACGAGATCAATTTGACTGCATATTAAAGCATTGATAGAGAATTGAGAAAGTGTATGGTTACTTATTTGACTAATGATTAAAGAATATGAAAAATGATAAAAGGTCCGGGTTGTGATGGGTTTTCAACAATTCTTTTAATCGTTTTGGAACAGAATCGGACATTTTGTTGTGAGGGCTATAAATTATGTTTATAATGTAAATACTTTTTCAAGAAGTTAAAAACTAGGGACAGTCACATGTATTCCGGCAATCTCCTGGATTAGGCTCCTAGAAGTTTATTTCAGAAGTAAAACTTGTGTATAATACACCAAAGAAAACTGAATGAACCGTATATATATACTCCTGGTTAAGACGCCGGGGTCTATTCCAGGATAAAGCCAAATTGTGGCATCTGGCAGTAAAGCCAATAGAATTAAAGGTGTTAAGATACTTTAGTGTCAAAAGATCAAACTGGATTGGTAAAAAAATACATATATGGGAGAGAATACTCGATTATTGTATGACATAATGAAGAAAATTACATACCAGGTTTAATTATGATGATCGATTTTGAAAAAGCTTTTAGTACATTATCTTTTAAATTTATTAAAAAAAATACCTTACACTGATAATTATTCAATACAATACTGAAATCTGTGTTATACTAAATGTTTTAGACACATTCTTCAAAGTGCTCACTTTGTCGTATTTTCGCTCCACAAGGCGCCAGAAAGTGGTCACTTTCTTGTTATTTCGTCTAGCGCCCAATGAAGCAAAAGGCGAAAGCAATGAATTAAGTAACGACAAAGTGTTTTTGCCGAGCAACAATATCACATGGCACAAATACATAACAAAATTGTTGATAAAGACACTTACCCAAAAAAAGTTACCTATTTATTCCGAACACAATTATAAAATACAAAATAAGTATGGGTAAGAGTGTGTATTAAGACGACCGTAGGATGCGCTATATATATATATAGAACCCGCCCCCTAATTAAAAGAAATTTACATACGTATCCAGATACCAGTCCCAAAATAAAAATTCCTAAATAATTAAGGTGAGCGTTCAGCATCAATCGCAAATTTTCACACGGCCCTTTCCGTCAGTCTTCGGATAAAAATTATGAATAATAGCCGAGGATGTTCCGATTTATTCAACATATCTGTGGAATGTAAAATTAATCAAATCACATTGTTTTATAGATTAATCCCGTCAAGTTTAATGATTCCGTAACGATTTAATTTGTAATCATTAAATGTTGCTTCAACGGATTGTAGCGTTTGGACCCATTGCATGTAGGACATTTGAAATATATATTTTTTCTACATTTTACTTTTTCGGCAATTGTATAGATTACATTGCACGAGCTTTTGTTCATGTAGAAATGTGGCCAGTTCTTTTCGGATAATAATTCTTTCTCACATTAACCTCATAATTATGATTCATTGCTGCTATCTTTGTACTGAAATTTCTGTAAGGTGGCATACCTTGAGATAGTGTGGCTGTTTCTCAAATTCATATAATTGACATCATTTTGCGTTTCCCGCTTTATTTGCTCAAACTACATATCATGTTATGGGTGAATTATTCAATATTGTCTGCACATTACTAGTCATATCATAATTAAATAAAAATCAAACGGAAAGCCAGCAGGAAACTTGCTATTTTTCCTCTACGCGCAGAATAAATGGCTTTTAACAGTAAGGAAATTAAGGTCTTGTGTTACACAGAAAAAAATAAAAAATCACGACAACTTGTCCTACAGGTATAACAGAAAGATATATTCAAATAGTGAAAAGTATCTTGAAGAAGTTAATTTGAAAGTATTGCTTTTTTAGAACAATGGTAGACACCTATTACCGGTGGTTATTATTTGAACACCGAAAACACCTATTACCGGTGGTGATAATTATGACACCGGAACACACCTTAACCGGTGGTGATTATTAGGACACCGAAACACACGTATTTTTTTATTATAATTAGTACACCGTAACACACCTTAACCTGTGATAATTATTAAACCACTAGAACACGCCTATTATAACGATGGTGATTATTAGAACACCGGAACACACATTTTACCGGTGGTGATAATTATGACACCGGAACACACCTTTTACCGGTGATGATTATTGGAACATCGGAACACACCTATTACCGGTGGTGATTATTAGTACACCGGAACACACCTATTACCGGTGGTGATTATTATGACACCGGAACACACCTCTATCGGTGATGATTATTAGAACACCGGAACAAACCTATTAACGGTGGTGATTATTAGGTCACCGGAACACACCTCTATCGGTGATGATTATAAGAACACCGGAACACACCTATTACCGGTGGTGATGAATATAACACCAGAACACACCTTTACCGGTGATGATTTTTCGCCAGCTGATTTTTCTTTATTTTATAGACGTCTGGGAGACAAGATTCCAACTAATTCAAATTCCTAAAAGTGTTACGTTGTCAAGAAGCAGACATACGAATTAAAATGGATATTCATAAAACATTGCAGCCACATGATATATTATTACAAAAAACAACAACAAAAAAAACAACAAGAAACGTTTTAGAGATAAATAATGGAAAGAAATAACATTACCATTGCAGTTATAATTGTAGATAATGTTGTAAATATTTCATTCATGTTTTCATTCTAAGCTATTGTAAGGGTTGTGAAACCTAAATTAATTTTCACACAAGAGTTTCTATTTCATTTGACATTAAATTACGTTGAACCAATCTCACTATACTTTGTGTCCCAGACAGGAATGTAATAATCATAATTGCCAGTGTTGATACACCATATTATTTTATCAGTTTGGAAATAAAAAGGAGAAAAAGTCTCATGGGATTGTTAAAACTTTTACTTTAAAGCAGCATGCCTCCAGACCCGTGCTAATTTTCATTAAAAAATGGAAATGTATTTAAAAATAAAATATTAAATGAACAAAGAAAGTACTTTACACGCTACAAATGTCACTTTCAATGTACGTAAATTAACAAAAAAAATGTTAAAATATGCAAAAATAGCTCTTACTAGTCACGAGGCAGAAATATGGTGATAAATACTGCAAAATCAGCCATTAATTGCACATAACCCATGAATTTTACTTGAATCTTGAACCTTTTTATTTTATTTAAAATCATAGTGCATGTACATTTTTTCTCACATTTGATGTTCTTGAAATATGTTGGTTCATCTGGAGGGTGCAGTTTTAAATAAGGCAGGTGTAATGATATGTATGACTCCGCCTACATTTGATTATAATGCCAATCTTAATTACAATGTGAATGTAAAACGTACCATTGTAGTCTGTATAACTACTTAGATTTTTGTTGAGCAGTCTTTGCATAATTGAAATTCCATACCTCCAGATTAGGCCAACTAATTGTACTGTGCGACGAGATAGTGCGCTACTTTGTGCCTCTCGTAAAATCGAGATTCTGACACAGAACAAAAATATCTCGAAGGCCACCGTTCGCCAGAGACTTTTTTAATGGGAAATCTAACATACTTCTTTAGAAAGGGCAAACATGAATTTTGTAATGTCGGACCCCAAAGTAAGTAACGCACTTTGGGGTCGGATCCCAAATTGCGTTGGACCCCAATGTGCGGTGTTACAAGGCTTTTGTCCGGCTTTGTCAATGGATGTCTCATGCCTTCAACGTCCGGCACACATGAAGCACCATTTACTGGCATAAGAATAATAGAAATAACTACTTGCGGTCAACAAATACTTTTAACAGACTGTCGTTAGCCTTAATCCTAGTACACAAGGACATCAACATCTATGTTGACGAATTGATAAAGTTGTTTGTGTCAGATAATGCAGAAAATTAGCTAGATTAGTTGGTAGAATTGATATTCACGTGCGAATTTCTATACAGAATGAGTCCGGAACCGCTTTCAAAACGATGTATATGAAAATGTCTATTCTCATATTTTTTAACAAACTCATGAAATTTGTACATCTGAAAATACTAGAGCATCATGCTTCTTGTGTCTACAATGTAGACTAAATTCTAGCACTTTAATTATTGAAACAACTGCAAATTTGAGTCCACTGAAACTTACCAGTATAATATATTGTCATATTTTTAAACGGCTAAAGGACCCACTCAGACAGGCTTTCCAACCGGTAAACCTTGGATTGAGCCGCACCTTAACAACAGATCCAGGCGCTGTATAGATTATATATATTCATTGATTCAGGCGCGAGAAGTTTAAGTTTTTTTTTACATGTAATAGGAGGTCGACGATTCATACGTCGGTCTTCTCCCATCAGTAAAGCTTGAAAGTCGTCATACAATGTATGACCTATACTGTGTCGGTGTGACGTAAAACCCAATCAAACATTCATTGAACGGCAGCCTATATAGCTAGATGAAAGTATATATGTCCCGTTTAAATAAATTGTTCAACAATAAATAAGTAAATAATATTTAAAAAATGATTGCGCGAATATTGTATGATAATGTGTGACAATTTATTTAACTGAGCCAATGTATTTCTATTAAGAAAGTGTATATAACGATAAATAAGTTTTGCTTTCAATTTTTGAAAGTTATATTACAGCCAGTGTTATAACCTCAAAATACTTGTAGATCAGTACCAATTTGCCTTAAATATTTCATTTGCAGCGCAATCTAAACCGTGTTCAAATTTAATTCCGTAACCAATCCTTTTAAAATATTTTGTCCAATTATTCTTCTTATTGCAACAAGCTGCGCGGCTAGAAAATAGTATAATTTATTTCTAATTAAATACAGATCCAAAGAGTGTCATCTCAATAATTAGTATGATGTATAAAGATTAAATAGTCATCTTTATATTGACACTGCATGGTTTGCCAAACCATTCCGTTAAATTATTTTAAAATGAAGTTGTTTGAAATAAATTAAGGAATTTTTACTCAATCTTTGTTTATATTACCCGCTTCCGGGCAGTCTCGTTTTCGTTTAACCAATCAACAGCCCGGTTACCGAACATGTGACCACGCCTTCCTCTTTCAGCTCCGAATTTCCTCGTGAAAAACGATCATTTTAGTGTGCTTGTTTTTGGACGGTTTGTGGTGAAAGTATACATCAAAATGGCTTGTTCTAAACCCGATTTACCCCGCGATGGTACAATGCAAGTGACTGCCAAGGTTTGTAAATGATTATGTTGTATTCATTGTGAAAATTGCGTCTAAACTTTACCAAACGGTGAGAAATTTTGCTTACTATGTACATGTATTGTATTTTGATGTCGGATTGACCTGATTGCTTGAAGTTCCAATTTACTGCTTACACAGGTTCGTTCGAACAAAGGAAGATTGGGAAAATGGAAATTCATTTTGCGTTCTACGTTTACATGTTAAAAACAATTGCAAGACTTGATTATTATGTGTTGATAAACCTTTAAACAAAATTCCGTTTTTGACTTCATTTTTCAAGATGGCTGCTTTGTTGCGTATGTCCTTCGAGTTATCATAATTTGATACACCAGTATGTTAATTATGCCGAAGATACAAAATGTACAAAAACGTATTTAATTAACGATTTAAGCATGTTATGTATTTTGTAAAACGTTTCATAAACAGTTTCAAGCTATTATATTGAAAATATATGCCACCGGTTATGATGAAGTTTACAAAATCTATATAGGTATACACAACAAGACGTGTTTTAGCTTGTGCACGTTTTATTGAATAATATTAGATCTGTGTAATGTTTGCACAAAGTCAAAGGTTATTGTCCACTTTATTGGTGAAAATGTTGAATTACACATTGAATGTGTGAAAGAATATTGATTATTATATGTATAATAATAATCCTAACTTAAGAGGATTTGATGAAGGTAAAATAAAGTGTTTGCTGACACTTATCTTAAGAAACAGCATGTGTGAAAAACAAAGAAAGACCATATGTATTGATGATGTACCTGAGAAAAAATACAAAAAAAGTAAAAGATAAAATGTTTTCAAAAGTTGTTCAAAATGATTTGTCGCCAGAACAAGGTAGAATGGCTCCAATTAAATTGTGTCCTTTAAAGGGGGATTTTATTATCAGTTATATTGATAAGACAACAAATTGCTAATAAAATTTAAATGTTTTATTTTAATAATCTTATTTTTACCTGCACATACATGTTTTTCATTATTAAGTCATTATATCATATACCAAAGACATTATAATAACTTTACATTAAATAAGTGTAATTGAGTTAGTATACTTGCATGTGAGCAGTTCCCATACAAAAATCGTAGTCATTTAAAAATTATTTTTTATTACACCCTCTCACCAAAAAATTGAATGTTACGCATCAATATTCGGCTTGTCACACAAATTTTGGAAATTCCATTATATTCTAAACATATAATAACCCTTAGTTATGAGGTCTGATATGGGGTACTGAAATAATACATTATGAAATAGTTCCCTTACATAAAATATAACCCATTATAATTATGCGATGTTGTTATATCAGACCTATTTGTCATTTATAGTTGATAAATAGACTATTTTCCCAGAGGTAAATAGATGTAATTCAGGAAATAGAGTGTAGACTTAACGCTGGTATCTATTACCCCAACTTATTCATGTGCAATGGCCTGCTTTTACGCATGATATTTTACCATTAAAGCCATAAAATGATTTAATATAGTAATATAGGTCAAAATTCTGATAATGGAACAGGTTTTCATAACATTGCCCACTTACCTGTTAGTGGAAAACCCTTTAACATCATATGTAAGTATATTTGCGCATGCATGTAAGGACGAAATCCCAAAACGTTTACAAGGTCGCGTTTTGACAACGCACAGGTGAAAGTAATTTAAAATGAAAACTTTTTAAATGTATTGCTGAACTGACACTTAGATTTGTCTAGTTCATACATCAGCTTGATTTGATATCAATTTTTAAAGAATGCAAGTAAAAATAAATCATTTTAAAGAAAAAAATACGGGTACTGTTTCTGTACGTGAACTGCTTGCATGCCAGTATAGAGTCTCTGCATGTACATGTAGATCTTAAACAAAAATGTGTATTTCCATGTTAACTTAAGATTAGTTGCCTCAGATTAATTTTCTGTTGATAATTTATTCATACTCGTTTTTTTAACAGGAGGGCATTGCATTATTGAAAGCTGCGGGTAAAGATACTTTACTAGAGATGCAGGGACTGAAAGAACCAGAAGCAGATAAACCCGCAATAAACAGGGATTCAACCATGCAAGTTACTGCAAAGGTCTGTCATCTTTTGAATAGGAAATTCCAGAATTAGTCAATAATTTTAAGGTTGATAATATAGTATTGACTACTGAGTCAAGATTGAAAGTTTCCCTATTCATTGAAGTTCTTACAGAAATGACACCCATGTTTAAATCTGTAATTCTGGCAGTCCTGGGTTCTGAAGAAAGGGAAATAATAAACATGGTACTAGCATGTTAGTTACTCTGCTTACTCATAGCAATATTTTTTAACAGGAGGGCATTGCATTATTGGAGGCTGCTGGTAAAGATACTTTATTAGAGATGCAGGGACTGAAAAAACCAGAAGCAGAGAAACCTGCTATAAACAGAGATTCAACCATGAAAGTTACTGCCAAGGTCTGTCATCGGCTAAATAGGAAACTTTATTTAGGGAAGGCTATCACATGATGACAATGTCTTAAGAAAGTCTCACATTCGACAGAAATGTCACAATTTAACCCTTAGCCTTCTTGCTGCAATTGACTCTATACAGTCATTGCAGACCAGTCCATGTCTGATCAGATCATGGTCTGTACTGTTTGCTATTTAGTAGGTACATATTTTCCTCTAAAAGATGAATGGTTTAGTCCAAATTGAAAGGTAGACAAGTCCATTTGCAATTTTAAATGGAATAAGGGACCTGCAATTATGACAGCATATGTTCTGATTAAAAGGTACAAATATACATGGAAATGAAAGACAAATCAGAATCTAAATTATACTTCATTTGATGGATTAAGAGCACAGGGTAAAAACTTAAAACCTATTTCAATGCAAGTTAAGGCTAAATAATTAAAATGTCATAAATGGAGTGGTCCATCATTCAGTTTATTTCAGTATGGTCGAAAAACAGGAAGAAATTTCTTTAGGAAGAAATTCTCAATATATACTGACTGTCATGACTAAAATTGTGCCGACTGATCTTGGTCAGCACTGGTCTCTCTTGGTGCTCGGGCAGAATCTGTTAATGCCAGCAGACTAAGTCTCAGGGTTACATATTTACTGTGATTTATTGATATCTCGAACAAATTATGACAATGTTTTCCTGATTTATTCTAAAGTCTCCGGCTTGTATTAAACAGAATGTTAACCAAATTTTTTTATGAATGTTTAGTGTCACAATTCAAAGTTTTTTACGCTTTCTTATATTGACAGGAAGGTCAGACTTTACTGGCAGGATCCAGTTTAGATCCTGATGCCACTACAAGGGGTCAACAGAAGAAAATGGATGAGATTAAAGAAGAAGAAGCTCCTGCAGCAAAGAAACCTCGCATGTCAAAGGCAACCACTATGGTTAACACTGCAAAGGTAACTGAGAAAAATCTCTTTAAACATCATCTATATCAGCCCTTTTTCTGGATTCTTTAGTTTTCATTTTCAGACGTCGTCCTCTTAGAATAATTCTGCAAAATCATGCAGTTTTATGCTGAAATTCAATTTATGTGATTTTTTCTCCCGCTTTTGCAAAAATACAATGTCATTTTCACCCAAAATAAGGAAGGGCATCATTTCCTACCTTTAAAAAAAACTTTTTCATATATTTTGTCTGGACAATTGGTCAGAATGTCATCAAAAGGCTGTATATGATTGAGTAATGTATTCCCAGTCAAACATTTATTCATTCATTACAAGCTAATTGAGATGTTCTAACTGAGAGCAAAGTGTAAATACTATTTTGATATGAACGTTCAGGGTTTTCATTATTAACCAATTGGCGATCCAAACAATCGGTTAAATTGCTTTTAAAATGGGTTTTATTTACAGCCTGTTTATTAAATTATCAGCCATGACAATGGCAAAATGGGTTGTTTTCTTTGGAGCATCTGTTGCCTCAGATAAAAATGAGACCCTGACTTTTGTAAAATGAAAATGATTAGAGCCTCTCTCAACAACTCCAGGCATGATGAAACAAAGTTACATCTTTTTCCCAAAACTTATTTTCATGTATTTAAAATTCATTGGCAAACATATAATGTTGGTTTTGTCGTGATATGGCACATGTTTGTTGTATTTTGTGAACTTCATTACTTTAATATTTAGGTATAATCATATATTATATTCTATAGGAAGCAAAGAATTTACTAGGATCTAGCGCCCCCGATGTTGATGCTCACACTCGAGGACAGCAGAAGAAAATCGAAGATATACAAGCCGAGAAACCGTCGCCAAAAAAACCTAAATTATCTAAGAACACAACAATGGCTGCAACAGCTAAGGTATGTACTCTTTTTACGATTAATTATGTAAGAGAAGGGATGACGTAGTGGTTAATGTGTCTAATTCTTAACCAAGAGATTGAGTGTATGTGCGAAACTAGGGTGATGACCGTGTTGCCTCATGTGACACCAATAATGATTGGTTCCAGGAAGCACATCAGTGCCATCTGATCATGGTCTGTATTCTTGACTACTCAGTCAGTTTTGAGATTTTCACTGGAAAACAATGAATGACTTATCCAGATTTAAAGATGGACATGTTCATTTGAAATATAAAGAGTGGTAAGGTATAAAAGATATTGTAAGCACAATGCAGTGAGCTTATAGAAGGTTTTTTGTTAGACTTAGGTGCCTGCTTGAGTCTGAAATCATGCACAAACACAAGGAAACTAACACATGAATTAGGTGTGTGACCTTTCACTTGTCTGTGGTTTGACTTTTGTACTCATGGTTTGTTTTGAAAAATGAGGTGTGACATGCTGACATCAGACTAGAAATGGTAAAATTATAATTTCTGTGATGTGATATCCGTACTAACTTGAAAGCTAAAGAATCAGAAAATTAAATGCCTGTTATGTTGTAATGAATTTTCTCATGATTTACAAATAGGCTCATTCAAATTACTGACTTGTACATTGTATTGCTCTCAAGTGGATGCTGTTCTTATTATATTCATACCATTTATTTTTTAGGAGGGTGCTTCGCTTTTAGATGGCGAAAAATTAGGCGACACTCGGCAAGAAACAAAAGCAAAAGCAAGCCGGCCATCTCCACCTAAACGTTCAAGAACTATCCAGAAAACCGTGGATGAAGGTAAAATTAAATACAACGTATAACAATTTTTGGTTGCAATATGTAAAGTAAATTTCTGATAAAGTAACAAAATCAAATGCAAAGTACAGTCATTTTGAGCCAAGACAATTTATGGGTTCAGTATGGTACAAAAGTGTACGAAAGAAATAAATAATTTTATGTATGTTTATCTATGTTTCTTTAAAAGGGAATGGTGCATGCATGAAATCTTTGTTAAACAGTTACAAACCCGGGTTTAAAAAAGCAGCATTATATTTTGTTCCTGAAAATTTTATCCTGTTTTTGTACAATATTCATGTGTGTTAAATAACAGAGACTTTCCATTTTAAAACTCTTTTTGAAAATCGACCACAAGACTGGGAAATTCATTAAATCCTTCAGCTATCAAATTTTATAAAAATTATTTCATTAAGATAAAGCGTTATACCCATTAAAGGGACTCCACTGAGGTTTTTCGATATGACGGGACTTGAAATAATTTCTAGAGGTTAATATTCCATTTGATGTAGATCTAGACCAGTAACTTGTGTGCAAAATTTCAGATCATTTTTTCCAGAATAATCATTCTTATTGAGAGACATTATTCAAAATTAAAAAGCGTTGCAACGTTTTTAGCTCTATCAGGCCAATAAAATAATATTGGCACAAAATTAGCATATTATATAACGTGTATATTTCATAATTATCTTTTGCATACTTTTCTGTTTCAAGTGCCCCAGCTGATCTATGACATAAGTTCAAATTTCTAGCTGAGGCTTTAGGACCTCAGTTGAATTCCTTTAAATGATTGTTTGGCTGTTGATATTTCAGCTAAATATGTGTTGGACACAGACAAAGTTGATCTCAGTGAGGGCCGACGAACAAGGTCGGCCAGTAGGCCGAAACCAGAATTGAAGAAAGCAGGTACAATGGAGGCAACAGCAAAAGAGGGTAAAGAATTTCTCGCACGAGGGAAGAAAGGGAAGAGGGCCGCGGCAAAGAAGGCCGAGGAAGCAATAGGTGAGGAGGAAGAAGAAAACAACTCGGAGTAAACGAGGCGAATCAATTTTAAGTTACAAACTTAATTCATTTATAAAAATATTTCCATGAAAAGTGTGTACAATATTTGATTATACATTAGGAATCGTGTTTTCATTCTTCATCAAGTCCTGTAAAAGAGATAGTAAGTTATATTAATGCACTGACACAAGTAGAAAAGAAAATTTTGACAAAAATTATGGTTTTAAATTTGTGTTTTGTATTTCACCTTAACATTGTTGAAGCATTTCTGGGGATCATTATTCATATAACCATTATGTACAATGCTGATGTTAACTATCACATTTTATGGCATATGACGTCATGTGTCATAAACATTTTTATGGCATCTTTTTGAAATGTTTATAATATGACATCATAAGCTGCTAACAACTGTATGACACCATATGACTTGTTTAATGAAAATTGCATCATATTACACAAGCATTTATATCAAATCATGTGATCTGATTAGCGATATGGCATATAACACATTGTACAGTTATATGGCATCATATAAACAAGTAGTTATATCGATTCATGTGATCTGATTAGCGATATGGCATATAACACATTGTACAGTTATATGGCATCATATAAACAAGTAGTTATATCGATTCATGTGATCTGTTAGCGATATGGCATATAACACATTGTACAGTTATATGGCATCATATAAACAAGCTGTTTTATTGCATCGTTCAGTTCATTATTGAAATATCATACAAGAAAATCTAGCATTTATATGGTATTATATAATACAGTCAGTTATATGGTGTCAAATAATTTAAAGCATCCATTGTGTGCCAACCGACTCAAAGATTTTATATAATTATGGTAAGTTTTAAAAAGAATTTTAATTTGTCATTTACTCAGTTCTTGAAATTCACCAAACTATCACCCTATCTGAAGTTTACTCCCAAAAATATTGTTCAAATGCTATGTGTTAAGAATTTTTATTGTTTTTACATGGTTTTGTATGTTATGGTTGTGTAAACAATTTATTTTACTCATTTTGTTATAATGATTTGCAGGACATATGGACTTTATGTTTAAACTGCGGGAAAGTTCATGAGTGTATTACTAGATGATCTTTATATTTAGCTTAAATTGTTTAGTAATATAGGCTTATGCTTCTCATAAACTAACTGTATGCCATATATGAGCCGGATCACGACAAAACCAACATAATTGGTTTGCGACCAGCATGGATCCAGACCAGCCTGCGCATCCATGCAGTTTAAATTGTTTAGTAATATAGGCTTATGAACTAATTGTATGCCATATATATTTTGTTCGCAATATTTTTGAAATATATAGTGAAATTATAAAATATACCACATTTTTTGTTGAAGAAATCTGATAATTTGATATTAAATAATCAATTGCCATGCTTTATTAAAGGAGCTCCACTGAGGTGAAAAATCCTAAATACATACAAAAAAATAAGATTTCTTCTTAGATTAAGTTCAGTACTAAAAATGTAAAAATCTGTGAAGGGTAATAAAGAAATATGCTCAGAACTATGTGGAAAATCCATTTTTGTGTGATACGTGGCCCGATTTGAGTGAAAAGCTTTACGTCATACGTTATAATATGATAGTCAACATTATTGTCAAGACTTACATCAATATAACAAATCTGGAAATATTTGCAGACAGTAACGTAAAAAAAACTCAGTGAGTCATATTATTTTAGAATTTGACGACGATTTCCTATTGACATGAACGAAGTGGTGTATTAACATAACACGTTTGACGTCATATTTGAATGTATTAATCATATACATGTGAGTAACACAAATAGCTGAATAAGTGGAAACAAATCAGCAATTTAGCTAATGACATGTGCGGCAGATTTATTGTGATTCGTGTAGATCGAAAAATATACCAATCGGTGTTATGCTGATACACGTTGTCATTGGATGCCATCTTATATATCGGCTAGCTGAATTACCATAATCAGCATAACTGTGTGAATATGTTCTAATAATAGAACTGTGTGAAGATGATGTATGTGAGATTATGATTAATTGCCTTCTTTATGCATTGACAAAAACAGATTATTTTACCTTCTCTGACATCATGAAAAAATAATTTATATAAATCTAAATAGAAATTATTATACTATGTGGAATGAAAATGAGAAGAAAATATTAAATCACATACTCGCATCTGAAATATTTTTGAAATGTTTCAGTTCAAATTTACATGTATATCACTTGTTCATTGGTATGTCACTATTTCCATTATTTTCACATTTTTGTTATCAAGATTTTCACATTTTTTGACATTGTTTTAACTTTTCACATTTTAATAAGCTGCTAGATTTTTGCTTTTTAATTGGGATTATTTCTTTCAATGTATTGTTAGTTTGATAAATGTCAATACACAAGTACTGTTTAATGATTTCAACATAAACTAGATTTAACATACCAATCCATTTTATGTCATAAAATCTGTATTTTCATAAATAAGTAAAGTGACAGATTTGAAATACTTGGAAGTTTGTTTTCCTTTTATTAATTTTAACAATGAATGAAATTAATGTGTTTTTTTTTCTTTCTAAAAATAGTATTTAAACTATTAAGTAGTCTTATTACTTTTTTACTAGGGATAATACTGAGTTATTTACAGAATGTATGTATTTAGTGCAGCTTCTTACTAGAACACAGTCCAGTCTAGAAACTCTGTGTTGTCATTGGTGAATTTCAAATACAAATTCAAAATTAACCAATCAGATGGTTGGCATTATTGACTGGTACCCAATATAATTATGTACACTGATTTCCAGTCAATCTCATTGTAGTTTTACCAGCGTGTGTTTATAGAATGCAATTTTGGCAGCATTTCCGTGTTCCACATTGTACATTATTTCCATTTAATGTCTAAATTGTAAATATATTGTGAGAAATCAACTAGCATTTAATAATCACTACCCATATAATATCATTTTTATCAGTAAGCATATTGAATTAAAACTTCCAAGCCGTTTCCAACTATTTTGGGAAGAGTCCTCCTGCTTAATTTGGGGAAATTTCAAAAATTGTTTTGAGAAATTTCAAGAAGTTTAACAACTGTTTTAAAGTTTTATTCATTGTTTATGGTCAAGATAACTTTAGTTTTAAATAAACAAGTCAAAAATTGGTTAGATTTTACTGAAAAATTGAAACATTTTGTTTTGCAGGTGTTAAGAATAGTTTTCAGAATATTTTTCTTTGAGTTCTGAAAAATTTATGTTACTTTGGTCGAGGAATAGAAGTACCATGGAAATGGCATGTTTTATTTCATGTAAAACAAAATTGTTGCTTTTTTTTATTTTTTAGAGAAATCTTGTTCACCATTGTTTAGGACAGGACTTGAAAATATTTATTTTTAAGGGTTTTTTTTAATATTTAATTTAGATCTACATAATATTTTTTATTGGGTTGTGCATATTTTAATCAAACTTTATTTATAGTAATATATCTGTGATTGGTTAAACCTTGTTATGACTGTGATGTTTTTAATGAAGCTTGACGCTGAAAAACAAATTCATTTAAAAAATGAATTACAGGCTTGATACCCTGTTTCACATATTACCCCACCCACTTTTAGACCTTATTTTTCTTTCCTTTCACATGTGAATGAAAATGATTAAGCTAGATTTGGCTGTTCAATTAGAGATCGTAAGTACACTTTTCTAAAGGATGAGTGAGCATAACCATGTATGAAGTGATGTGGAATCTTAACTAGTACAAAAAAAAACAAAAAACAAAAAATATTAGATCGGTTGACTTAGCAGACATTGTTAATAAAAATGCACAAATCTCCCATTAGATTGGTTAACTGGGCAGGCATTGACAGTAAAAATGCACAAAACTCTATTAAATTGGTCAATTCCGCAGACGTTGTTTGGAGGGTATGTTATCTGAGTCATTCTTAAATAGTTACACTTTGTAGGATGAATTCATAAATTGGATCTGAACTAACTTTAATTCATAGGTTAAAATACACTAAATTAGAGTTTTATATCAAAACACATATTTCTGTTATAATTTAGGTATTTACGAAAATTACTCAGCTCTGCCAGGCAGAAAATGCATACAAAAAATAAGAATGAGTGTTTTAGATATATAAAAGAAGTATAAAAATGATATAACCTTTTGTTCTTTTTTATTAAATCAGCCTATACACATGTAATTTTTATACAGGTAAATATACTTTTAACAAACTTTGTGTTATTTTCTCGTTAAACTGTCAAAAATAAACAGCTTTGATTTTAAAGGCATCTTTTCATGTTTTATCCATTTGTAGAAATATTCATTGTCCTGTATGTTGAAACTGTATTGTGAACTTTTAAAATAAAAAGAAACATAAAAAGAAAAGAATGGTGTTGTTTTATTTGTTTGCCTAAGATATTTTTATACCCCCACTCGGGGGGGGGGGGGGGCATTTTTATACCCCCACTCTAGGGGGGCATTAAATTTTAGATTTGTGCTTGTCCGTCTGTCCATTCTCATGTTGTGTCACATATAACTCTAAAAGCACTCAAACTAAAATCAACATTGAACAAACTTTACATAAATTTTGAACAGAATGTGAAGTTGTGCACCTGGGATTTCGAGTGTTGATTATTAATTCAGTCATTGCCTTTCACTAGCTTAGTAAAAATTTTCAATTTGTGTCACACATAGATAAAAATTATTTGACCTAGCTAGTGTTATTAAATTTTACAGAAATGTTGGTCAGCATATGTATTTGTGCACCATAGGGCTTTGTGGATTTATTCAGTATTTGTAGAATTACTGCCCTTGAGAACACGTACAACATCTGACATAACTGACATGATGATTAATTCAGTTGTGACTTTACCTTTGAATGACCTTGACTGTCCAGATCAAATATAAATTTTCAATTTTATATGTTACCAAATAAAATGGGGAACTTTTTACTAAGATATTCTTCTGCTGATGCACTTGATTTGAGAAATAAGAAAAGTCGAGTGTGGCCCCTGCTAGGTGGTGACTCTTGTTTTTGGTCTGTTTTTGTTAGTTTCATGAAAAGATTAATCTGTTGATTTTTATTTGTAGTTTCTGAAGTTCTAAAAAAAATGTTGTTACATTTTGGGTTTATTATTTTGTTGATTATGGATTTTTTTTTGAAAGATGTTAATTGAATGCAAGGTATAAAAAATTATTGAGTTTATACAATTTTCTTACAAAAAAAAGCTTTTGTAATTAAATGTTTTTAATTCTTAAAGACGACTTATTCTTTTGAGATCATATATGCCAATCAGTCTGACTTTGACCTTGACCTTGAAGGTCAATAATGAATTTTGCTAGACTTTTGCACAGACTTTAGTTACAGTAAGTAATGTCTGTGATTTTTGCTATAGCTGCATGGCTATAACTTTATTATTAATGAATGGATAGTCTTCATACTTAGTCACAACAACCTTTAGGGAAATCCTTTAGAAATGCTACACTGAACTTGACCGTAAGTTTGAAATGACCTTGATGTTGAAGGTCAATTGACTAATTTCATTATTGTTATTTTGCTAAAATTGCCTAAAACATTGTAATTTATTAATTGATTTTCTTCATACTTGAAAAAATAATCCTAATGGCAAGACCTTCATATTTGATGAACCTTGCCCTTTATTTGATTTTGACAGTCAAGGTCAAATTTTTTATCTTCGCTAAAATTGGTTGTAACTTTATTTATTATGGGATTTAACAATAGCACATGTAACTAAGCCAACATAATGAAAAATGACTCAAATATGACCTTGACCTTTGAATGACCTTGACCATAAAGGCTAAAATTGTCATAATGTTGATATTTGTCGACAAAATTGATTCATACTGGGACAAAATAATCCTTGTGGCCAAACAAATAAAATTAATAATTCCAGTATGACCTTGACCTTTAAATGACCTTCACTCTCAATAATTGAAAGTTGCTTACATTGGCCAAAACTAAAAAAACTTTTGATTCATTCTTGGATAAAATGTCACTTGGTACACAACAAATATTTTGAATATTTTCTTAAAACCTTGACTGTAAAATGATCTTGACCGCCAAGGTCAAATTTTTGAATTTTGATCTTATTTACTTTTTTGACTTGTCAATGTTTGTAAATAAGTTGTCCCTAATAATATTTCAAGCTAAAATTTAAATTGATGTACTGGTTATCATATATATGATATAATTAAACAAATATATTTTTTTGTGCAACAAATTACTACAAATATCAAAGCCAAAGCAGTTTATTTGTTTCCATCGATCTATATTTATTATGTATACGATGCTGGACTCTGTGCGCTCTGCATCAAAAATCATGATATTGTCTTGTACCATCGCATGGTACTAGAAATAAAACAATGAAAGAATTCTGTTTTATAATAAAAGAGGTTTATCCCAGTTTGGTTGAAAAGCAAACTGTCTAATTTCAGAGCAATAATGTTAAAATATTAATAATTTAAAGTGTCATTTCACTTTTTTCAACTATATGATTTTAATGAGGAGAGATTTTGAAATAAAGTAAGACGGTAGTTTTTCTATTACCTTCATGCTGCTTTAAAATGAGACAACTTTGTCATTAAATTTTATTTATAAAATGGCAACAAAGTCAAAACCAACATACTAAATAATTCAAATATGATTTTCACCTTAAAATGACCTTGACTGTCAAGGTCATGTTATTAGATTTTCCCTATTGCCATAACTTTATTATATTTGAACACTGTAATGATAACATACTAAATAATTCAAATATGATTTTCATCTTAAAATGACATTGACTGTCAAGGTCATGTTATTAGATTTTCCCTATTGCCATAACTTTATTATAATTGAACAAATTTGAACACTGTAATGATGACAACCAACATGTCAAGTATGACCTTGATCTGTAAATTATCTATTAAACTAGCGAGATCAAATATGAATTTTTAAATCAGTGAAAATATTGTTTTTGAAAACCCTTTACTACAGTGTTCTACCCCTGATGTCTTTACCTTTGGAAAAAGTTGAGTCTGACTCTGCTAGGCGGTGGCTCTTGTTACAATAAAATGATTTTCTGGGAAAAGTGTGTTATTTAGAGCCCTGACCTACAGCAAATGGTACACAAAATTAAAAAAATATTTCCTGTCCCTTCATGTCAAAAACTGCCCTAAAAATCAAAGAGAATAGCTAAATATCTTTCAGCTATTCCCTTTAGTTTGTATAAACTAAAGAGAATAGCTGAAAAATATTTAGTGGTGTTCTACTTCAAATTAGCATTAAAATTTAGTGGCGTTCAATTAAACACGGCATAGACGGATATTAGTGCTTCTAATGAAAACAAATCAAAACATTTAATTTTATGTCAAAGTTTCTATAATAAAGTAATAATGACAAAAGTTCTGAATAAGCTTAAATGATATTTGATAGTTTTTCGTGCTACTTCCCTGTGACATAAACTTCCATGAATAAATTTCTAAATTTATCAATGACATAATCAGATAATTTGCTATTTCATTTGACACCTAGGCCTACTTCAATTACTTGATTGTATCTCATTTCAAGTCAAGAATTTGTATGATTTAAATATTTTTCTTGAAGAAATAAACATTAAGTATGGATTTGTTTATGAAGCTGGTCATCATATACTGTATAAGGGCATTGTGTATAATTGTATTCATGATGACTTTATCATGGAAGGCTATGGTGTATTTCACAATATTTTTAGGTAAGTGTTCGTGTGTTGTTAAGATTAGACCGGTGATTAACAAAACTAGAGAACCATCAAACTCGGACGACCTCCATAAATGCTTAATTAAGTTGTTGTCAGCCAATCCATGGGTATATATTGATCCAAAATTTTGGCGCTTTTCTTCACCAATTTGTTGAGCTATAACAAGCCCATAACGGCTGATAGTGCAATACTTGTCCTGTTAAATTAGCTTAAATCATTTGCAGAGTAAGAACTAAAAATTTTAGCATACATATATAGCCCAACAAATTGTGTGCCAGGGCTTTTTATTATATACACGATGGTTTCCCTTTGGTACAGACCTAGCCCAACAAATTTTGTGCTTTAGGGCTTTCTATTATGTAGACGGTGGTAGCCCTTCGCACACAACCCACTTTAACGATACAAAACAATGCAGATAGTTTTCCTTCTACATAAAGGCCGATGTCTGTGTAAAATCAGTTTGTAAAGTCTCATAAAGACTCATTTACAGCCCTCTTCGATGTGTAATTGTCAAGCTCTAAGAATAGTTGATTTCCCAGTTCTTATTTCCTTCATCTATCCAAATATTCATTTTGTACTGTAAGTTTTATGAGTAAGACTAAAAAACAAGGATTGGAGCACCACACTATGTATTCAGTTATATACCGAACAGGGCCCTTGAATGATGAAAAGCTAAAATCTTGCCTTTTTACCCAACGGAATGAAATTTAAAAAAAGGTCTAATTTATCTTTTCCACACCAATTTATGTATGATAATATCAGAATGAAAAATGTAATAATTTAAAAGCGAAAAAAAATATATCTGTCTATTTTGTAATCATGATTTTACTGTTATTTACTGTTCATGATTTGAGGTACTGTTCCAGTCCTGTAATGAGTTAAATCCATTTTTTGTAGCTATTGAATTATATTCAATTACATACTTTGTTCATTGCAAACTATTTAAGATTTTGATGTCTTATATAAATTTCATTTTTAATTTCAGTGTCACTTTATTTCCTACCACTGTTTCCACGTAAATCTTCCAGTAGTGAAAGAAAACCAGCGAAAACAAAAGACATCATAGCTGAACTGTATCCTAAAACAGAAGAGGCTGTGTTGGCAAAACAGGTGTCTGATGCTATTGTTACTCTTGTGTCATATGACGTTGAAGATACCCCTAGTCTTCAAGGATTTGAGACAATAAAACAGAATTCAAACTGTGTTTTTGCAAGGAAAGCCAAAATATGGGGCTCACCAGCATGGAATTACGATCTTAATTTAGGTGAGATTCGTCTTACCATTTTGAATCTAAAAAAGCTCGAAGATGGAAAAAAAAATAAAAAATTGTGTAACAGTTTACTGTTTTATGATCATATTTTCTAACTCTAAGGGGGATGTAACAAGTAATTTTATTTATACCCCCGCCATGATAATGGCAAAGTGGCATATACTGAAACCCATGTCAGTGTGTGGGCGAGTGTTCAAAAACCTTGTCTTGCCTACAACTCTTGTCATGTATCAAGGGATTTTGAAATAAGTTGGCACAAATGTGAAGCAACAGGGATATATTTTTGGCTTATTTTATAGCTGATATTGGGTCATATTCCAAATTGAAAATAGGATATTATTTTTCCAATCCACAGGAAAAAATTTCCAATTGAAATTTACAAAATAATAATAATAAAATAATAATAAAAATTAATATTGAATGAATAACTCTAACATCTTTGAAAACAAGCAATTATCATAGTATTGCAAGCAATCCATAAGTCCCCTACCGGTTAGAACCCCAGCAACTTTCTGATGGGCCATTGGCCATCAGGTGGTGGTGTTGGTAGTTTGCTCTCCAGATCATGGTAGTAAGCCACATTGAATTCATCCTGTTCACAGTTCAACCACCTTGAACGTCGCGATATGACCTATACTGTGTCGATGTGACGTAAAACCCAAAACAAAACAAAAACAAAAAAGTTCAGCCACCACATTGTTCCTCGGCAGGCTGTCTAGTAGTAAACCAGTATTAGTTGCCTTCACTTTTGTGAGGAACTGATAACTTCTGTTCTTGCCAGAGTAGAGGTACAGTAGGAATGACAGTAGCAGGGATTTCATGATCAGTCAAAACAAAAATGATCTTCACCATCCGGGAATCAAACCAGAGTCACTTGATTCTCAGTCCAACGCCAACTGGACGGTTTATTAAGCTTGGAAAGGGTAAAGATGATTTAGAAATACAGTAGACATTGTTAAAGAGACCACTCAAGGGACTGCCAAAAAGTGGTCTCTTAATAAAGTGGTCTCTCAATAGAATTCTGAAAAATTGGAGCCTTGAGGGTTTTGTTTTTACACTTTAAGTAAAGATACAATAACATATTTTTACATAAAAAAAACTACAATATAATGTATGTATTTCAGTTTCATAATAACATTTATGTTGTTTTTTGTAGAAATTTGTGTACAAATGTGATCTACGCTCATAATACCATCAAGCAGGTCATTTTGACCATGAAACAAAGCATAATTATTTTTTTATAATGTTCATACACATTTTGTGCTGAACATACTTTCTTATCATCAGCCGGAGCTCCAAGTAATCTTTCATGCAATAAGTTTTAAACTTCTTGATTTTTCAGCAATTAGTTGAATTAACTTATATAGTAAATATCATCGGGAGGGATTTTATGCGGCCGCTTAATAAAAATGTCGCTTAATAAAGGCTGACGCAAGTACATTGTACGATGCCGACTGTATATTAACAATTTTACTAAGTTAACACTTATAACCCAGCAAAATTACTTGAATGGACTTATCCATGATTCAATTATTATGAAACTATTTACATGTATTATAATAATTAATAGATTTCAAAATAAATTTGACTGAATTGTAATCGGCCCAGACCATGATCAGTTTGCGCCAATGAACAGGCTAATCTTGGTTGCATGGAAAGAAAGCAAGCTAACTTTCACTCAGGGTAAAATCACTTTTACATGTACTTGTATATACCTGTATTCTTTTCTAATTATTATTTATAAAAATTTCAGATGGAAACATATTTAGGTAAGAAAATGCTTTTAATTCTCATTCTGTTTGACATAAGCTAATGATGTGCACTTCTTTAAAAATGTGTGACATTTATATTTATGATAAAAATGTGTGACATATATCTATAATTAAAATGTGGGACATATATCTATGATAAAAATGTGTGACATACAGTCGACTCCACTTATAACGAACTCGCTTTTAACGAATTATCGTTAATAGCGAACTAAATCTGACATCCCCGGCCGATTCCTTCTTTATTTTATATTAAATCACATCGCTTAATGCGTACTCGCTTATAGCGAATTTTCGGCTATAACGAACCAGTTTTCAAGGCCCTAAATGACGGAAAACATTTAAATTTCCTCGGTTATAACAAACTGTTATAATTGAAATATCGGGATGCGCTCGATTAGAATCAGTACACGAATAACACTATCCAATAATAAAACAATCGAATGATTGCACAGGTTAGAAATGGCTTCAGGGAATAAAGATTTTGAAAACTGGTCTCACAACATAATTTCCTACTTGTTACGGAAAATTTGTATTTCACACCCTCAGTTGATTGATGTAAATGCCCAATAATTGCCGAGTAATCGATTTTTTTGTGTTTGCAATATTAACCAAACGATAATAAACAAATAGCAAAAGAAAACAAATGGTAAGAACTTCATAAACAATACATGAATAAATTTATGTACCATGTACATAATATATTGCTCAATAAAATGCCCTGCATTAAATAATCATTAATTGTATCATAGTTTGGAGACCTTTCTGTTTTCTGCACAGTGCTATAACTGGAGTGCGGGTATTAGTTACCCGCACTGCAGAGCATGCCCATTGATTGGCTCATTTTTGCTGGGGTTTACATATTGTGACGGCAGTGAAAGTGAAATCGACAGAAATGTCATATTTAGATGCTCGTTCATTGGTTCATTTTTGCCGGGTGTCATATTGTAACAACAGGGAACGTGTTTTTATGTTTGACTATGATACAAAAGAGAAAGAACACCAAAACACTCGGTAATCTGATTAATACTCGGGGGGGCTATGCCCCCCTCATACAAATCAGATAACCTCGTGTTTCGGTGCTCTTTCTATTACATAACCGCTGCAGTAAAATTCCGGTTACACAGGTAACCAGTGAAGAGTATGGCTTTTTCACGGCAAATTTCCCCATCCAAACAAGTCAGAAAGTTGTTGCTACTTCGCTTTTAGCGAACTTCGGATATAACGAACGATATTTTAATGTCCCATTGAGTTCATTATAACCGGAGTCGACTGTATATTTATGATAAAAATGTGGGACATATATCTATGATAAAAATGTGTGACATATCTTTATGATAAAAAATGTGTGACATATAGTTATGATAAAAATGTGTGACATATATTTGTGATAAAAATGTGTGACATATATTTGTGATAAAAATGTGTGACATATATCTATGATAAAAATGTGTGACATATATTTGTGATAAAAATGTGGGACATATATCTATGATAAAAATGTGTGACATATACTTATGATAAAAATGTGGGACATACATGTATATCTATGATAAAAATGTGTGACATATATTTATGGTAAAAATGTGTGACATATCTTTATGATAAAAAATGTGTGACATATAGTTATGATAAAAATGTGTGACATATATTTGTGATAAAAATGTGTGACATATATTTGCGATAAAAATGTGGGACATATATTTATGATAAAAATGTGTGACATATATCTATGATAAAAATGTGTGACATATATTTATGATAAAAGTGTGGGACATATATCTATGATAAAAATGTGTGACATATATCTATGATAAAAATGTGTGACATATATCTATGATAAAAATGTGTGACATATATTTATGATAAAAATGTGGGACATATATCTATGATAAAAATGTGTGACATATCTTTATGATAAAAAATGTGTGACATATAGTTATGATAAAAATGTGTGACATATATTTGTGATAAAAATGTGTGACATATATTTGTGATAAAAAATGTGTGACATATAGTTATGATAAAAATGTGTGACATATATTTGTGATAAAAATGTGGGACATATATCTATGATAAAAATGTGGGACATACATGTATATCTATGATAAAAATGTGTGACATATATTTATGGTAAAAATGTGTGACATATATTTTTGATAAAAATGTGTGACATATATCTATGATAAAATGTAAATATATTTATGATATCAGTTACCTTTGCAGTTTTTAAAGTTGTGATTCATTCCTCTGAATTATAAACTTTTTTTCAGCGTATTTGAAAATTGCTTAACAGTTACTATAAGAAGCTCGATTAATATATTTTAATTAAACAAGTAAAATTTTTGAAGTATTTAAACATTTCATTTACAAGTGAACTTTGTATCACTCAAATAAGGGCCTGTCAATTTTTCAAGAGACAGTCAGTTCGAACCAATATTAAGTCAAATAATATTCGCTAGGAACACAATATATTCCTAACGTTTTTCCAGCTTTACATGTTTCGAATGATAAATACATATGTCAATATAACTGTTTCTTAGTACACAAGTTGGTCGAATAGGTCATTTTTGTGTCGCCTCTACGGAGTAGTGGCGACATATAGGGATCACTTCTCCGTCGTCTGTCTGTCTGTCCGTCCGTCACAAAACTTGTCCGTACTACTCCTCATAAACTACTGGTGCAATTTCATCCAAACTGTACAGTAATGATCAGTACCAAGTCTAGTTGTGCATATTGTCAGCAATTTCCCGTTCAATGATTTTTGTCAGAGTTATGGCCCTTTAATAATTTTTATTTTTAAAGTTTGTTCGGACTACTTCTCTTATACCACTAATGCAATTTCAATGAAACTTTACAGGATTGATCTGTAGCTCAAGTCATTGCGCATATTGCACGGGTTTCCGGTTGAATAATTTTTGGCCGAGTTATGGCCCTTTGATAAAAAGGTGTTTTTTTCTGTGTGTTGCCAGATACACAAAAGCTTGTCTGGATTACTCCTCATAAACTACTGGTGCAATTTTATCCAAACTTATCGTTCTACACAATTCATGTTTTACATGTATCACGGCTGTAATTAAAGCGCTGTTAATATCTTGGTTGTTGAAAACCTGGTTTCGTTGCATTGCAGAGCTTATTGTCTTCTGTAAATTCCCTTGGGAGCTCTAATAACAATTCTTATTTTGGATATGTAAAAAGAAAATATTATACATGTACTCGTGTAGCTTTATTACTAAATTCATTGAACTCGTTGAATAAAACAATATTATGCTCGCCAAAGGCTTGCATTATAATTATAATTTTAATCAACTCATTCCATAAATTCAGTATTGAACCTACACTCAATCAATATTTTCTATATATCAAATACTTTTCACATTTCAGGATACTACCAATGTTGGTTAAATTCACCATTGTGTGTACTAATGAGAGACTAGATGCTTTTCTGATAGAGTTGCCAGGCCACATGTATGGTGATTCTTTACAGGTAAGTGGTTGATTCTTTGATACATTTCAATATTGATATTGTTAAAATCTATACATGAATTGAAATCACATGTATTTAAGCTGTAAATTTTAATTGTTTGTTTAATTATATGTGGGTTTTTATTGTATAGACCAAATAATTTTTAATTATGTTATTTATTTTCACCAACAAAAATGTACGAAACAAGTTTCTTTGATGATTCCATAGGCATAATAATGCTTAAGAATTATATAAAGAGGCGTCAATTGTTAACACTGCTGACTTCGAACCACTTGCCCCAATCTCATTAAATTCAGATCATCATTTTCGCTCTGTTACTATTAGCTACGAAGCCATTCAAACAAAGCAGTGAGGGGGAAGTGCAATCTCATTAGAATAGCAGAGCAAGAAGGATGATCTGATTTGAATGAGATCGGAGATTTCACTGCTGTGTTTTAATGATGCCAGTGGACATGGGTTTCTTAAACATAGCTTTCAGAATGCCAGTAGTTCTATTTAAGTACCCTCTTGTGCCTGAAAGAATAAAAGAAGGGGCACCTTACAGAGGTATTCTGTCACCAGTAGAGCTGGAAAAGCTGCCATATGATATTTATCTCAATTCCAAGCAAAAAATATCAATTAATATGGAGTTAAGAGCTAGTAAATTATTTAAATTTGTACTGACATACCTATGCTCCTTTCATGTGAATTTAGTAACATAACAGTACTGTCTATAAATCAAAGCACAGAAGGCGCTGAATTTGTTTGGGTCTCAGAATGTCAGAAAGGGGAAGGTTGTGAGATTATAAACCAATTTGTTTGTAAAGTGTCACCAAATTCTGTTTCCAGTGTTATAACTATAGTAAATTGGCTATAAGACTAATTGCAACACTGATATTCAATTCAATGTTTATTTACCTTAATCAATTGAAAAAAAAACAGGAGTTGCCTGAACTGGGATTTGAACTCCGGACCTCTTGCTTCTAAAGTGAGTGTGTTAACCCCTCGACCCCGGGGAGTTTTAAGATAAATGCCTAAAGAATACCATATTATTCTTAATTAGAGTTTGTAACCCTTATTAATTTCGATATATTTTGTTCACGGTCTACCTGTTGTTTAACACTGAAGTAAAAAATCATGGAGCTGAATATAAGCATGTATATCTATAAGAATAACACAATATTAGAAATCTTTGACCAATCGGGAACTAAAATTTTTCATCACGAAAATTAATGCGCCTGTCATTTGACAATCTTTACGCAGTGATCTCCCCTTATTTTCAGCGTTTATGTACATATGAAGGGAAGTAACCGCTTCGAGGAGTTTGGACTCCTTTCGGCATTTGCAAATAAGAACATCAGGGTCTGAAATTTCGCTACCATTATTTGTTTGGTCTGACGACCCAAACAAATAAAAAGCATGGATCTAGTTAAATGCTGCATACCCTCAAAATTGGGTCAGGATAGCAACTAACCCCTAATGTCTAAAATGTCACTGTCGCATCAAAGCCTGTTAAAATTTCTCGCATGTTAAACACATACAGTATATGGTATGTATACTACAACTTGGTAAGTGTTGTAAAGCTCATGTTTGGGTATAAGGTCTATAATAACGCTCATCGATAAATTACCCCACCCACTTTGAATGCATATAACGCTGATCATTTTTTACTTGTGGAAGCTTCTCGCATGTTAAACATATACAATATATTGTATGTAAATGTAGTGATATAAAGTAAAGTATTAATAACAATTACAATACGGATATTCTCATTTCAGGAATTTGGTGATGGTATTTATAAAGTGCTGAAAATACTGTCTGACAATGACCCAGCAGATGCACATTGTATTGACAAGCCGTACATAGACAAAAGGGGATGGGTGTTCGAGTTTAACAAGGTCACGTTTTTCATAACAACATTTGCTCCGTTCTACCCTGAGAGTCATCCTCGATATTCTTTCGGTGCTAAAAATTGTTACATTCTTCTGCAACCGGAATTATCTTTCGCTTTTCATGATCTACCTCCAGACACACCGGAAACAAACTGGGACCGACCAAAAACTGTACGCGATAAGATACGTGTTGCGTTTAAAGAAGCAGGAAGGTCATACTATATACCAGATTCTATTTATAGCCCTATGGTTCATGAAATTCTTAGACCTATCTGTGATCAAGATTCATATTATGAATGGTGGAGAAATGGGAAAAAGAGTCAGTAAAGAAATGAAATTTTAGACTTAATATTTAATGAAAATCCTATGTGATCATATTTTGTTGCAAGAAAAAACCGTCTTCATTTGTTGGAATTTTTGCCATTCCAACAATTGTCAAGTTGAACACTGTCATTAATTTTTCTAAGCTGTTTTCCAACAAGCAACGTGATGGCGTGTTATACGGCATAATTACTGAAACAGGTGTGAAGACTGTAGTGCATTGAGACATAGCATAATTTATAGTTTATGTTAGAAATATGTTACACCAAGGCTGTCGTTGACGGTCCGGTCTTAGCCGGACCAATATTTTGGCAAAAAATGTCTGGTCCTTAGCGGGGAAAAACAACAAAATAACAAAAAAAACAATCGAAACATGCGTCGCTGATTAGCAGTTTGACACTTATCTGGCCCCTTATGCAAGGCGTAGTGATAAATGTACAAACATGAAACTAAACAACTGGACACTGTTAATTGACCAGGTACATGTAGATGTACTACGAAGTCAAGTGTGAAGTTATCTTAATTGAAGGCATTAATTGATATCAATGTGGCTTCGGACAGTTTACTATTTATATGTATGTATATTCAAAATATAACATCACAATTCTATAAATTTTTCTGCTATTCACAAACAAGTATTTTAATACAAAGAGTTTAAAATGTTAAGATATCATGACGTTTGACACAGTTTCATTGGAATCAATTCAACTAAAATTATTTTTGTTTCCAAAATGAATGAAGGCGATGTGTTTGTTGAAAATTCACATGAAATCAGACTCTGATCAATTGATAATGAAGATTAAACCATTGAAGATTAAACACAATCTGCTTACTATAACTGTTCTTGTATGTAATATTTCTTATTATTTATTTATTTATTATTATCAGATAAGATACAACTAAAGAATTATAACAACATCAATTATTGTTTATTTTTTATTTGTCAAATAAGAATTATTCATATTTTATATACAACTGCCATCAGTTACGGGATAGGTAATAACCCTTTCCTTCTTTAAACTTACGATGCACAGATCTTTGTAAAAAAATCATTGACATTTGCCAAAATAACATGTACTAGCGGCAGACATTAAACTGTGCCAAGTACAGGGGAAAATGCTCCTGAGAGCAACCTAGAATAAAACATTTTCCGGGTGAGCATGCCCCTGTTAAACCCCCTAGAACCACCAAATTTGCCGCACGAATCACAAAATCATGACGGCGACCCTGTATACCAGTCATCACAATTTCACAATTTGCAGGTCTTGAGATCTTGCGAATCCATTTGAGCCGCGTCACGACAAAACCAACATAGTGTGTTTGCGACCAGCATGGATCAAGACCAGCCTGCGCATCCGGCAGTCTGATCAGGATCCATGCTGTTCGCTTACAGACACTGTAACAAGTAAATAAACTGATAGCGAACAGCATGGATCCTGATCAGACTGCGTGGATGCGCAGGCTGGTCTTGATCCATGCTGGTCGCAAACCCATTATGTTGGTTTTGTCATTGACGCGGCTCATTTGTTATTAGGTATAATTAAACTGGATTTTTAAAAAAGCTCGCGGTTTATTTATCATTCTCAATTCATCATCTCTGGACTAATCATTCCTTGTGTCAATTATGAGCAAAATTAATAAGTGATCCCAGTCAGAGTCAAACGCACATTCCTTTTATGGAGAGGCAAGCCGCTGCTTATTGTTCTGTAGCTTACTTTATTGGCTAGGATTATTACAATTTGATGGAAAGGAATATTTCATGTATGGGATATTTATATTGGTGTTTTACCCGCACCCCACCAGATGCACATTTTTTGCTTTCACAACAGCAAACTAAAAATATCATACAGAGTGAGAATATTGAATGAGTGTAGGTTTTGAACAAGTAGAATAAAAAGTAAAAAATATTGTTTTATACAACTTGTTTAATAAACATAATATTCAATCTGCGCAAATAAAATATTCTTTTTATTACATATATAAAGTAAGAACGGTTAACTGTTAAAATGATTCATTTTTAGCTAGACTTTTTAAGAATAAATAAATAAAGGTATTGTTACAGTCATGTCGGCGTTGCCGTTGCTGTCGGCAAACTTTAACCTTGATCATAACTTTTTAAGTTCTTGGTGTATTGTCTTCATACTAGGCCATTACAACCCTTGGGACAAGACCTTCAAGTTGGTTAGACTAACCTTGACCTTCATTCATAAATAACCTTGACCTTCAAGGTTAAATGTCTAAATTTTGCTTGCTTTTTGCTGATTTTTGCTATAAGTGGCTATAACTATGTTATTATTGAATGGATTGTCTTCAAACTTAAAGATAAAAATCTTTTATAATAGACCTTCAAGTTGCTCAGACAGACCATTCTTTTGCATAAGTCCTTCATGTGTGTCACATTCAAGCTGACCTTGGCTAATTGATGACCTTGACCTTGAAGATAAAATTATTGAAATTTCACTAATTTTTATTCGAAGCATATGAGGGCTATTGTAGTCGCCCCGGCATCGGCGTCTGCGTTGGTTGAAGTTTTTTGTAAAGTCAAATATCTCAATTATTGCTTGAGATATTCAATTGAAACTTACAATACTTATTTATAGTAACAATGTACATCAGACTGACAAGTTGGATAACTCTGCCTACAATATTGACAGAATTATGCCCCTTTTTAACTTAGAAATTTTGGTTAAAGTTTTTTGTAAAGTCAAATATCTCAATTATTGCTTGAGATATATAATTGAAACTTACAATACATTGTATATACTTATTTATAGTAACAATGTACATCAGATTGACAAGTTGGATAACTCTGCCTTCAATTTTTACAGAATTATGCCCCTTTTTAACTTAGAAATTTTGGTTTAAGTGCTTAGGGTCATAATTAGAGGGTCATAATTGTATGTCACTGACCAAGTTCATAACTCTATCTTGCATTTAGGTTGATTCATCTCCCCTTTTCTCTTGGTTAATGTTCATGCAAGTTTTACATATCTCAATAACTATTAAAGATATTTATTTAAAACTTCACATATGCATTTAGGGTCATAATTGTAGGTCACTGACCAAGATCCATAATTCTATCTTGCATTTAGGCTGATTTTTCTCCCCTTTTTCAACTTAGAAATTCATGGTAAAGTTTTGCTTGTAAGCTGTTATCTCCATAACTACTGAAGGGTTTGTGCCTTTTTTGGGACAATTTTATGCATTCATAATAATAAAGCAGTGATTTACTTGATAAAACATCTTAATAACAAGCCTTTGTACCTTTTCGGTCAATTTTATGTATTCATAGGTAATTAGCATTATTATACTCAATAAAACACCCTTGTGACAACTTTTTCGAATAGTCGAGCCAATACTGTCCTCCGACAGTTCTTGTTGCTATAATTGACTGTGACTTGGTAATAAATAAATGGAATATCATCATATTTGGACAAAACAACCTTTTAGACAAGACCTTCTCAAAGGTTGAACCGACCTTGTGCTTTAAATGACATTGATTGTCAAAGTCAAATTATTGAATTTTGGTTAAAATGTCATAATTTTGTAATTTATGTACAGATTTGATTTATACATTGACATAACAAGACTCACAGTCTACAAAAACAAACATATTGAATAATTCAGATGTGTAGTGATCTTCTCTGTTTTGACAAAGACTAGAGGTTAGATATTTGGCTTGAAACATTGTGTAGTGGACCTCTATCAAGATTTTTCAAATTATAGCCCTTGGGTCAAAATTGGCCCTGCATGACAGGGAGTCATTGATTTTCAAAAACTTAAAAACTCTTCTTCTCTGAAAGTGCAAGGTCTAGAACTTGCATATTTTGTGTAGCATCATGTTATGAAACTACAAAAATTGTTAAAATTTTGGCCCCGAGGTCAAAATTTGCCTCGCCCAAGGGGGTCATTGATTTTCCTTATACATGTATGTGTATAGTAAAAATTATAAAATCATCTTCTCTGAATTGACAAAGGCTAGAGCTTAGATATTTTGCATGAAACATTGTGTAGTAGACCTCTACCAAGATTGTTCATATTATAGTCCTGGGGTCAAAATTGGCCCAACCTGGGGATCATTGGTTTTCATTATGTACATCTAGTAAAAACTTTAAAAAAACTTTCTGAAGATATAAGGCTTAGAGCTTTGATATTTGGTAAATGGTATCATCTATATGTCTTCTAACAAAGTTTTTCTCTAGTGTCAAAATTGGCCCCGACCCATGGGGATCGGTTTCCATCTACTGTTTCAGTCCAAATATCCTGGAAATTGTTTCAGTCCAAATATCCTGGAAATTGTAGAGAAAGGTTGTTTTGATGATTTTTAGGGCAGTTTCAAATATGGGTCATCTGGGGTCGAAAACTAGGTCACACAGCCCAAATATGGAAAAACATCATTTTACCCTTTATAGACTACTGTTTTGGTCCAAATATCCTGGAAATTGGTTAGAAAGGTTGTTGCTCAAGTTCGAATATGGGTCATCATGAGTCAAAAAGTAGGTCATTCAGCCCAAATATTGAAAAACCTTGTTAACACTTTAGAGGCTACTGTTTTGGTCAAAATATCCTGGAAATTGGTCACAAAGGTTGTTTGAATGATTTCAGTGCAGGTTTGAATAAAGATCATCTGAGGTCAAAAAAGGTCACAGCACATGAATAGGCACATATGAAAATAATCTTATTAATATTTGCAATATTTCAAGTGCAAATATGAATGTTATGATATCAGTTTAAGTTCATGGCATTATATGTGCCATTTCATTCATTGCTACAATATTAATTCAGATCCTCAATAATCAGGTGAGTGATATAAAGGCCATCATGGCCCTCTTGTTTTCTATTATTTTCTTTTTAAAGATTTATTTAAAATTTGGAAAAATAAAAAAGTCGAGCGTTGCCTCTGCCCGGCGGTGGCTCTTGTTAAATGATAGCAGCAAAGGCATTGTATTATTTGAAGACTTTTACCATTATTTTTAGCTTGACTTTCAAAGAATATTTCATGATATTGCTACAATCTTGTCTCCCATTATGGTTCCTATTGCCGGTAAAAAATTTATACAAATTTAATTTTGCCATTGTTCATTGTTATTTCTTCATACTTGACCTTTATTTTCACAATCAGATGTTTGAATCTTGCTTGATTTTTACTATAATTGGCTATAACTTTGTTATTTATGTCTGGATACTAGTACACAACAGTCCCTTGGAAAAGATCCTCTAGTTGACCAAATACCATGACCTTAATAAATTCTCAATAACCTTGACCTTGAAGGTCAATGTCTTTGACCTTGAAGGTCAATGACCTTGACCTTGAAGGTCAATGACCTTGACCTTGAAGGTCAAGCTATTGAATTTGCTTGATTTTTGTTAGCTCACCTCAGGTCGTCCGTCGTCTGTCCACACTTGTTCGTTAACACTCTAGCGGTCACATTTTTGCCTCAATCGTCTTAAAGTAAAACTAAGATGTTAAGTAATTTGTATATAAACTTGACCTTTAAATGACCTTGACAGCCAAGGTCAAATAATTGAAATGCTTAAATTGTCATAGTTTTGTTATTTTTTACAGATTTGAGTTATACATTGACAAATGAACACATATAACAAAACTGACATGTTGAATAATTCTGATATGCATAGATCTATAACCCTTAATTGACCTCTGTCAAGGTCAAATTATTGAAATGTGCTTAGATTGTCAAAATTTTCTTGTTTTTTTCCTGGATTTGACTATGACAAAACTGGCATGATGATGAATTCATATGTGTCCTTGACCTTTGAATGACCCTGACTGTCAAGGTCAAATACGAAATTTGAGTAATATATTGAATATGAAAATAATGTTTTCTAGGAGTATTCTTTACTTATTAATTCTTCCGCCAATGTGTTTGACTTTAAAAATAAGAAAACAGTTGAGCAGGGCCACTGTTAGGTGATGGCTCTTGCTTTTGTTAAGAACCGCAAGACAATGCTTCATTGTAGGCAAAGTGTATACTACAATGTACAAGGAAATTATAAAGAAGTTAAGAATTTTCATAACATTATTGTTTATAAGGAAGATTTTTTTTGCGGGATTTTCTGTATGTGAAGTGAATATTTCATCAGAAGAATTGCCAAACGGATTTACCTACAGTTCCACTTGTGACTAATAATTGCGTCTCTTATATACCCGGTACGTAATTAATGAGGTCAGGAAGCTTCCAGGAAAAAGATCTATTGTATTATCATCATAACAGTTCATGGTCTATTATTTCTCTGAAATTAATAAATAATTTCCTTTTTTTAGAAAGGGCTCACATGAGTTTCATAACATTTAAATAACAGTTTAAGTGTAAAGGGAAGTAGAGCTGAAAACGAAATTTATTTAATGTAGCAAAATGTTGACAAGGCCAAAGAAAAGTACTACATGATACGTATCTACTTATTACCAAAAAAGGCAAAAGATTGTTCAGCTAAATTGGTAATTGACCAATTAATAGCTTTTAGGAAACTAAAACAAGACACCGTAAATAAGCTTTTGAAAATTGAAAGCATTTCTGGTAATAATGTGGCTTTAATAGGAAATTTAATGTAGGTTTTATTAAATTTTGTGGAAAATGAAATTAATGTGACGTGTGTAAAAATTCATTGTTTTAAGTTATTTTTTTCCTTCTATTGATACAGAAACAGAATGTATTCAAATTGTAAGGATGTAAAGAGACACTGCGGGGGTATAAATGATAAAACAAATAACAACATATATTATGTGAGGCATTGCATTCAAAGAGTATTCACCTACGGGAAAAACACAAGGTATTTATCTTACTTTATAAAAGTGTATTGTTTTCTTAAAAGACTTAGAAATGAACAAGTATTTCATTCTTTAGAAAGGAAAAACTTTAATTCTGTTATTGTTTAAATGCTGACTTAAGATCACGCTTGATGTTTATTACCTGAAAAAAGTAACCCTGAATGTGGAATTATTTGTCATATGTTTGACAATACTGATCTAAAACTTGTTAATTTTCGAAAAGTTCTTTGTTAGTTTCCATAATTTATAATGAGTAACGCTAAATCTTTAGTGAAACTTATAATAGATCTCAATACTTTAATCAATAAATATTGCATGATGGCCTAATGGTAAGCACGACAGAATTGTGACCATGTAGTTGCAAGTTCAAATCTTCGAACAAATGTTGTTTTTTTTTTATAGTTTTCATAAACTTATTTTAATTTACATTATTAATTATATTAAACCTGAGTTGCTAAGCATTGTTTTTTTTTATTTCATAATTTTGATAAAATTAATACATATTTTTTTTATTTCATTTATTTCAATATGTAAAGTCATACAGTGGGTGACTTGCATGCAAAATACATAGTGGTTAAGTTTTGAAAATTATAATAAAAAAATTTGTACAAGAAACAAACGATTCCATTTGTTTCTAACCTACAATCTTTAATTAATGAAACTAACTTAACTTTAAGTATAAAACCTTGTCACTAAGGTTATTAAGGCAAATGTTATACTGGTAATTTTAAGTTATACTAATATACCAATGTACAATACATTATAAAATTGTTAAGGTTTATAATGACCGATATTAAAATGTCTCAGGTCAATATTGCAAAACATTACAAGCAACAAAATGTAACTTGACTAATATTTTTACTTTCATATACAAAATACTAATAATTGGCCAAAAGCAACAGAAGCAAAAGATTGTTAATGTAATTTGCCAAAAAATAAATAGCTTTTGAGAAATAAAAATGATAGCATTTCTGAGGGATAATGGGCCAACAATAACAATAATAACAATTATGAATAACCTTAGTCTAATAAAAAAATTTAACAAAAATCACACGAAAACAATAATGTAATATTTCAAGTTTTACTTTTTTTACTCGAAGCTAGTAGCTAATAAATTTTTTAATCTTGACCTGGTGTTGTACATGTGTTCCTCACCTTTTTAAATCATTGAAAAAAAAGTTATCCATTGACAGAAATAGATTGTATATGAATAAAGATAAATCTATACAATCTGATATTTCAGAATGTTTCAAGCACCAGATTACACAGAGGCAGTGTCACTGAAACTATCAGAAGTTCTTGCTGATATAGGCGTGAATACCAGAATGATACTGAAGAGGAGGAGATCAATGCTTCTGCTTGAATCAATGATAAACATGTCTTCTTCATTTTGTAACATGCTACAACACTACATTATGGGTAGTCAAGTTGAAGGCACAACTACATTAGGACTAAACTCAGATATTGACAGAGTTTTCCGTCTTAAAATGCACCGTGTGATACAAGACTGGAGTGACTGGCAACCTGGTGTAATCAATCTACTGATGATTCAAGATCATTCTGTATCCCCTGGTTACTGTCGACTTCAAGTGTTAAGATGTGATGCTCCTCTACCTCTCCCTGAGTGTGGAATTCCAACCTTCTTTTGGAGAACAGACAGAATTGGAAGAGTATGTTTTAGGAATTCTTTTTTATCAATGTTAATTCTAGATTTGAATGGAGTAGTACAACATGGAGTAGTACAACATGGTCCAGCATGTACGTCAGAAGATGTAGATGTTGTTCTTGCTTTTACCTGTACAACATGGCCGCTACAAGCTAGGCAATGGTTGCACCAACAAAGTGTGGGTCAATGGCCTACTGATGAAATCAAACAATACTGCTGTAGTTCTGATTGTTTTCTTGTTGGAGTTGGTGGTCAACATGGCAGTGAAAATGAAGATCTTGAATGGAGGATATCAACATGTTTAGCTGAAAGGTGTTTAATGTACAACCTAAACATTACACAGATTCGCTGCTATGTCCTGATGAAAATGATAACAAAAACATTCATAGATCCATTGTTTAATGATGTGATTTCTAGTTACATGTGTAAGACAGTTTTGTTCCACTGTATTGAAAATACCCAGTCTATTATCTGGCAGGAAAGGAACTTAATTGTATGTTTATCGTTATGTATTCATTATTTGTACACTAACATTCTTAATGAAAATTGTCCACATTTTTTCATACCTGGAAACAACTTGATGAGAGGGAAGATAACACCTGAAGTCAAACCTGTCATACTGGATATACTTCAGCATATCATCAACAGTAATGGGGTAGCACTACTAGGAATCAAGTGTGATGATCTTGGTTCAAGGCTTCAGCTCAAGTTCAACAATATACTAATATGCCCATTCAGAACATGTGAAGATATTTCAAAGAAACTTCTAAAATACGTAACTGGTGTTGCGTTACATGTATATGAAGGGTCTCTATACTTTGGTTCTCATTATAATAGGGAACCAATACAAGTATTAAACATGTTAAAGCAGATCATTTCTGACCTAGTTAGTCTTCAATGTCATGGGCTAGACAAGACAGCTCGCAATATTGTAGCACCAAAGTTCTGTACAAAATTAGGATCTGTTTTAGCTTCTTTCGACATACAACAGTATAATACAATATCAGCTGAGGCTCTCAAATGGATCTCCCTGGGTCTAAACACTGATGTTGCATCTAGTAAACTCAAACTTGCTTCAATGCTATACTGTACAGGGCAGTTTCGAAGAGCCGAAATTGTTCTCTGTGATATTGAAAGGCATTATGACCTTAAAACTGTTGAGCCTCTTTGTTCAAATGTATATGTTGGAGACACAAGAGCACAAGCTTTCAATGCAGAATGTGATTTACAAATTGAAGAAGCAATGAAATGCATATTCGCAAACTGTGTACAATTTTGGCCATGTGAAGTCTATTGTTGTCCAAAGGAATTAAGACAGGAAATGTTTCGATCTACAGAAGAGGACAAAGCTTTCAGAACAATAGACGACATGTGGATGGACACTGCTGAAGTGGATTCTCTAACTTTCCTCTACTTTCTACAGTACAAGATATACAGCCATCTCAACAAACAAGAAGATAAACGCGTGGCACTCTCTAAACTTACCAGAACCATTGAACAAGAACCAAGATTAGCTCACGAGGAAACAGCCTTGAATTTATTGGGGCAGTGCATGGAACAGGAACACAGACCTATAAATGCATTACAGTGTTATTCCCTGTCATTGAATGTAAGGAGGAGAAACAATGCTGCAAAGATTCATATCTGCAGACTTTTGAGTACATTTGTACATAGCAGATAGTTAAAACCTATACAGTCATGTATCAATAAGGACAATAAATGGTTTAGGTTTATTTAACCACTATCATTCTGTACTTCATACACCAGTATGGAAGATTAAAGGCACATTATGCCTAAGAAACGATTATTATTTTCCTTCTTGAGAAAGGGCACATATGAGTTTTACAATGTTTAAATAATGGTTTATGAGCATGTTTGATGTTTGTTACCTGAATGAAATAGCGTGTAATGTAAAACAACTTGTCATAAAAGTAGCAAAATGTAAACAAAGTTGTATATTGACTTCCATACTGAATGCTAAAGAAGCAAAAAAATGGATCAGATTCTAGTAAATGGCTTATTAGTAATTTCTTTTGGAAACTTTGACAGGACATAAAAAATAAGAAGCTTTTGAGACATGAAAATGAAAGCATTTTAAGGTCATAATGGGCCTTTAACTTTGATAGTTTTTTATGGCCAAGTGGTATAAGTACCAGTTTCACAATGACAATAACAATACAATCCTTGTTTTAAAGTATCAAATTCAGTGAAATAATAATATGAGCCGCGTCATGACAAAATCAACATAATGCTTTGCGACCAGCATGGATCCAGACCAGCCTGCGCATCCGCTTACCAACCCTTTTACAAGTAGAGAAAATAATAGCGAACAGCATGGATCCTGATCAGACTGCGCGGATACGCAGGCTGGTCTGGATCCACGCTGGTCGCAAACCCATTATGTTGGTTTTGTCGTGATGCGGCTCATATGATACGTACATACTTAGTGATAAACAGGAGAAGCAGATAATTCATATGTGATATGAAACTATTCAAATACAAGTCAATCACAGTGAACATTTATTTTATAGCATCTTTTTCATTTATTAATTTAAATGCAAAATATGAAAAGAAAACATATTGTACAGCAAAATAAATGTTTTTTAGAAAAAGCTATCAATCATGTCAGTGCATGTATTTATATATATAACTTTGTAAGATTTATTACTATGAAAATAAAATTCAATATGTACATTGTATTTCTTTCTTTTATACCTTTATAATTACCGGTATGATGTATGACATTTCATCTAATAAGTTCCTAGAAAGTTAGAAATACAGTAATGTTCTATGTTAAGATATGGTTTCCAATATTTAGGCTCAGGTGAGCTGAAATTCGCTTATTTAAAGTGAAATAAGTAAGAATTTGCTTAACAATAAAAGTGCTCTACTGTAAAGATCCTTATCCTAAATAGAACCAAATTCAAACAGAAGCCATGGCTTATTGTATCTTCAGTTTATTGATCAGACAAAGATTGTCACTATAACTTTGACCAAAATGATTTCAGAATAAACTAGAACTATCACTAAATGTGATTTATACCACCGCAAGACTGCTTTGAAAATGAGAAACTTACTAGTAACAGAATTACTTGCAAAAGAATTGACATAGAGTTATGGTTGTGGATTAAAGATAGTTGTGGTTTTCCTTTCAATGTGAATGACCTTTGAATTACTCTGTAAAAAGTCCAGGAAGAGTTAAGCTTCTTGAGCACTGCGCTTCCTCTCATTGCATTGACAATTGTATGAAGTTGCATCATTAGTTTTTAAGTTATGCACCGGACAAGAAAAAGGAACAAAGGGCAATAAATCTACAAATACTGAAGATAGAGTTATGGTTATTGTACACTGCACTTCCTCTCATTGTGCTTGACCATTGTATGAAGTTGTATTGAATTCTAACCACTAGTTTTCAAGTTATGCACTGAACAAAAAAAGTAACAAATGGCAAAAACTCTTAAATGAGTCAAGAAAGAGTTATGGTTTCTGTGCACTTAGCTTTCTCTCAATATACTTGGTTTAAAACATACATGCATTTATTTAAGCTCGATTGCAAAATAAGTTCTGGCAACTTATATTAATCACTTTCGAGTCCACTTCCTGGAACCAACCAGTACTGGTGTCATATGAAGAAACATGGTCATGACCCGAGTAGGGCTCGAACCCATGATCTCTGGGTTGAGAGTCAGAAATCTTAACCACTAGGCCTCAATATACCCCTCAACTGCTCCCCTCAATATACTTGACCATTGTATGAAATTGTATTGAATTTCAACTAGTAGTTTTCAAGTTTTTTTCAAGAAAAAAGCAATGGAAAAGTAACAAAGGGCAATAACACTATAATTACTCTGGACAGAGTTATGGTTCTTGTGTACTGCACATCCTCTCATTGTGCTTGACCATTGTATGAAGTTGTTTTGAATTCAAACCAGTACTTTTCAAGTTATGCTCCGGATGAGGAAAAGTATCAAAGGGCAATAACTCTGTAATTTGTCAAAATGGTGTTATGGCTCTTGTGCACTGCACTTCCTCTTAATGTGCTTGACAATTGTATGAAGTTGTATGGAATTCCAAATAGTAGTTTTCAAGTAATACTCCGGACAAGGAAAAGTAACAGGGCAATAACTCTGTAATAAGTCAAGATGGAGTTATAGTTCTTGTGTACTGCACTTTCTTTCAATGTGCTTGATCATTGTATGAAGTTGTATTGAATTCCAACCATTAGTCTTCAAGTTATGCTCCGGACAAAAAAAGCAATGAAAAAGTAAAAAAGGGCAAAAACTCTGTAATTTCTTTAGATAGAGTTATGATTCTTGTGCACAGCATTTCCTCTTATTGTGCTTGACCATTGTATGAGGTTGTTTTGAATTCCAACGAGTAGTTTTCAAGTTATGCTCCGGTCAAGGAAAAGTAACAAAGGGCAATAACTAGTTATTAGTGAAGATAGAGTTATGGTTCTTGTGTACTTGTTCCTTGTCATGGAGAGTTTCTGTATTCAGGTGAGCGATTTCATGGCCATCATCTTTGAATAATCACAGGATCTAGATTTTACTGACAAACAGACAGACAGACTGATGGTAAATCTATAATCCTTTTAATCCTATCTGGTAGGGGACTTAAAACAACAAATAAACAATTTACTAGTGCTTTATTTGCTATTTAAATTCAAAAACAACAAATCAGATTTATTACAGTAACAAGATTTCAGTTAAATAAACCAGTCATTGGTATGACCTTTAAGAAAGGTCACATACAAGTTCAAGGTCATTTAATTCAATCAAGGTGATGATACTTAGAATATAAATGAAATAACTATGTCAGTGTTGCTATGAACAAAATGAAATAACTATGTCAGTGTTGCTATGAACAGTAAAGCCTATACTAAAGGTCAATTAGAGGTCAGTCATTTCACCTGTGAACAAAGGCCATACAATGGAGAATCAAAGTTCCTTACAGACAAGTGGTCTTTATAAAGGTTACATCATTCCATTTTATCAATGTAAGGCGATAAAAAGGGGCCTTTATTGACAAGGTTGTCTTTATTCAGAGTTGATTTTTAAAACAGGTTTGATTGTACACATTTTTTATATCATTATCACTTTTATAGTCGAAAAAAATAGTTTTAAAGAGTTGGTTTAAACATATTTATTTATGCTTGATTGTGAAACAAGTTCTTGCAATTTATATTAATCCCTTACGAGTCCACATTCCGGAACCAACCAGTACTGGTGTCATATGAAGAAACATGGTCGTGACCTGATTAGGACTTGAACCCATGATCCCTGTGTTGAGAGGCAGGCACTTTAACCACTATAGGCCACCTCCCTTTTAAAAAGTTGCAACTAACTATGGATCAAGTAATAGTAGAAACGCAATTTATATAAGACAAATTAAAAAACAACATAATTACATGTATGTAAGGTATGCACAATCAAAATTGAAAACAGTAACAAGTTTAGGTAAACGGCCATACTCCTCAAGGTCAATTATATAAAGAAATCCAGGATTTTTAACTGTGGTCCTTTTACCATTGTTATGTCTCCTATAACTGTTACAGAAGCGTCAAATTATGGACTTTAAAAAAGGCTAGAAAATCTATATGAACCCTTTAACTGCCAATGGTTTGGATACTCTCTTCCCACTTCCAGTATTGACCTACAAGACAAGTATAATCAACTTTGGACATTGCTATCTCATTCTTGATTTATTTTGCATTTTTATCATATTTTTTGTTTAAAATTGGGAAAAAAAAATTGTTCTGTATCAACTAGCCACTGGTAAAGAGAGCCAATTAAAGCTACATGCCTCCAGGTGAATCAAAATATTTCAATAAAATCAAACTTGAGAAAAATGTACTAAGATGAAAGGAAAAGTAAAAAGTTTCAAGATTTAAGTACTATTTTACATATTATGTGCGATTACTGACTGATTTTTCAGTATTTAAAACTATATTTTCTACTGTGTTACTAACGCAGTAAAGGCTATTTATGCATATTTTGACCACTTTTTGGTAATTTACATGGTTTGTAAGTGCCATTGATAATGTGTAAATTGCTTCCTTTTGGTTACTTCACAATATTACACATTCAAATACATTTTCAAAATTTCCATGAAAATTAGCATGAATCTGGAGACATGCTGTTTTTAAGTTTAAAACGATACTAGAGAACCTTGAGAAAAATAATTATTACAGGTGTACCTGGGTCAGGAAGTTGTATTTGACTTGAGTTGATTTTACAAAGATAAAATCTCATGAGGCGTGGTAGCATGAGGGGTGGAGGAACCAAGTGTGATACGTTCAAGTAAAATCCACGACATTCAAATTTAAGGTCCAGATTAAAGGAACTCCACTGAGGTCCAATAGATTTAAATGATATATTTTGAAATTCTTTCTTAAATCAACTGGTACATTTAAATTAATAGATTTCACAACTAGAAATGTGTCATCATGCCAAGGATGCCCCCGCATGCAGCCAAAATTTCAGATGTTATAATATTTAGTTCCAAATTTGTTTACACAAATTATTTTTTCATTTTAAGTTCAAAGCCCTTAAAACTTTTCAATGTTAACACATACCATTTTCATACAATGTTCAAGGCACTGAAATTATTCAGTCTTAACCTTTTGAAAATAGCATATTGCATATTTGTAGCCAAAATAATAGCTACATACATTTCCACAAAAGTATGAGTGCTGAAACTGAAAGTTCAAAGTTTTTTCAACATTCAGGAAAGATAAGTTTGTCCAAAATCATTGAACCACGACCAAACTCAAACTTAAACTGCTTATTTCTAAGATGTATCTATATTATTTCTAAAGTGAAAGGGACATAACTCTGCCAAAAAATCATCGAACCATGACCAAATTCCAACTTGGCCTGGGCATTCCAAGCACATATCCATATGTCAAATTTGAGTTGAATGTGTTGTACCGTTGGGGAGATAATAAACAGAAACTGAAAATTTCATATTATTTTTAAAGTGAAAGGGGCATAACTCTGCCAAAAATCATTGAACCATGACCAAATTTGAACTTGACCTGCGCATTCATTTCACGTATCCATATGTCAAGTTTGAGTTGAATGTGTTGTACCGTTGGGGAGATAATGAACGGAAACTGAAAATTTCATATTATTTTCAAAGTAAAAGGAGCATAACTCTGCCAAAAATCATCGAACCATGACCAAATTCGATCTTGACCTGTATTTTCTCATGACATACCCATATGTCAAGTTTGAGTTGAATGTGTTGATTCGTTGGGGAGATAATGAACGGAAACTGAAAATTTCATATCATTTTAAAGTGAAAGGGGCATAACTCTGCCAAAAATCATCGAACCATGACCAAATTCAAACTTGACCTGTATTTACTCATGATATATCCATATGTCAAACTTGAGTTGAATGTGTTGTACCAATGGGGAGATAATGAACGGAAACTGAAAATTTCATATTATTTTCAAAGTAAAAGGGGCATAACTCTGCCACAAATCATCGAACCATGACCAAATTCAAACCTGACCTGTATTTTCTCATGACATATCCATATTTCAAATTTGAGTTGAATGTGTGCAACCGTTACTAAGATAATGAACGGAAACTGATGATGACGGAATGACAGAATGACGGAAGGACGGAATGACGGAACAGGGTAACACTATATGCCCCGGCCATTACATGGCGGGGGCATAAAAATATACACGGTATTAAATTCGTAATCGATTTTTATGCCATTTTTGGCTGATTTGATTGAAAACCGTTTAAACGGTTTTCATTTATTGGGCCAATTTGCACAATGAACTTGATTTTTTCTGGGAAACGG